TACCCTCATCACCTTACTCTTATCTATGCTCACTTTCAACCTTTACACACCCTCTCAAACTCATCCAGTAACCTTTGCAACTTTTCTTTAGAATCCTCCAAAAGCACAGTATCATCAGCAAAAGGTAACTGTGTCAACTCCCATTATGTATATGATTCCCCATAATTTAATTCTACCCCTCTCCCCAACACCCTAGCATTTACTTCTTTTACAACCCCATCTATAAATATGTTAAACAACTATAATGATACTACACAGCCCTGTCTAAGACCTACTTTTACCGAGAAGTAATCTCCCTCTCTCCTACACATCCTAACCTGATAATCAGTATCCTCATAAAAACTCTTTACAGTATTTAGTAACTTACTACCTATTCCATACACATGCAACATCTGCCACATTGTTCCCCTATCCACTCTATCATATGCCTTGTCTGAATCTATAAATGCAATGAAAACTTTCCTACCTTTATCTAAATATTGATCACACATATTCTTCAATGTAAACACCTGATCTACACATCCCCTACCCATTCTAAAGCCTCCTCAAATTCTTTCAATAATAACCTTACCATACACTTTACCTGGTATACTTAGTAAACTTTTTCCCCTATAATTTTTTACAATCTCTTTTGTCCTCCTTCCCTTTATATAAAAGAATTATACACACTCTCTGCCAATCCCAAGGTACCTTCCCCTCTTTCATACATTTATTAAACAAAAATACCAACCACTCCAACACAATATTATCCCCTGCTTTTAACATTTCTGTCATGATCCCATCAGTTCCAGCTGCTTTACCCCCTTTCATTCAAAGTAATGCCTCAAGCACCTCCCCAACACTCACACCCTGCTCTTCTTCACTTCTAAAAGATGTTATACAGTGGACCCCCGCATACCGTACGCATCGCATACCGTACAATCCGCATACCGCTCGCTTTTTTCGCAAAAATTTTGCCTTGCATACCGCCCAAAAACCCGCTCACCGCTCTTCGTCCGAGACGCGTCCAATGTGCGCCCTCAGCCAGCCTCACATGTTCCGCCGGTGGCATTGTTTACCAGCCAGCCTCCGCGGTAACATCCAAGCATGCAATCGGAATATTTCGTATTATTACAGTGTTTTCCGTGCTTTATCTGGAAAATAAGTGACCATGGGCCCCAAGAAAGCTTCTAGTGCCAACCCTACAGGAATAAGGTGAGAATTACTATAGAGATGAAGAAAGAGATCATTGATAAGTATGAAAGTGGAGAGCGTGTCACCGACCTGGCCAGGTTGTACAAGAAACCCAAATCAACCATCGCTACTATTGTGGGCAACAGAAAGGCAATCAATAAAGCTGTTCTTGCCAAAGGTTTAACTGTGTTTTCGAAACAGAGATTGCAAGCGATGGAAGATGTTGAGAGACTCTTATTGGTGTGGATAAATGAAAAACAGGTAGCAGGAGATAGCGTCTCTCAAGCGATCATAAGCGAAAAGGCTAGGAAGTTGCATGAGGATTTAATTAAAAAAATGCCTGCAACTAGTGATGATGTGAGTGAATTTAAGGCCAGCAAAGGTTGGTTTGAGAGATTTAAGAAGCGTAGTGGCATACATAGTGTGATAAGGCATGGTAAGGGTGCCAGTTCGGACCACAAAGCAGCTGAAAAATGTGTGCAGGAATTCAAGAAGTACATAGACAGTGAAGGACTGAAACCTGAACAAGTGTTTAATTGTGATGAAACAGCCCTGTTTTGGAAGAAAATGCCAAGCAGGACCTACATTACTCAGGAGGAAAAGGCACTCCCAGGACATAAGCCTATGAAAGACAGGCTTACTTTGTTGATGTGTTCCAATGCTAGTGGTGATTGCAAAGTGAAGCCTTTATTAGTGTATCACTCTGAAACTCCCAGACCGTTCAGGCAAAAGAATGTCCTCAAGGAGAATTTGTGTGTGCTGTGGAGGGCAAACAGTAAGGCATGGGTCACTAGGGACTTTTTCTATGACTTGTTACACCATGCATTTGCCCCCAATGTGAAAGATTACCTAACTGAAAAGAAATTAGACCTTAAGTGCCTCCTGGTGTTAGACAATGCCCCTGGTCATCCTACAGACGTGGCAGAGCGACTTTATGGGGACATGAGCTTCATTAAGGTGAAGTTTTTGCCTCCTAATACCACTCCTCTCCTGCAGCCCATGGACCAGCAGGTTACTGCAAACTTCAAAAAACTGTACACAAAAGCTCTGTTTGAAAGGTGCTTTGTAGTGACCTCAGAAACTCAACTGACTCTAAGAGAGTTTTGGAGAGAGCACTTTAATATCCTCAATTGTGTAAACCTTATAGGTAAGGCTTGGGAGGGAGTGACTAAGAAGACCTTGAACTCTGTTTGGAAAAAACTGTGGCCACAATGTGTAGACAAAAGGGATTTTGAAGGGTTTGAGGCTAACCCTGAGAGGATTATGCCAGTTGAGGGAAACCATTGTGGCATTGGGAAGTCCTTGGGGTTGGAGGTTAGTGGGGATGATGTGGAAGAGTTGGTGGAGGAGGACAATGAAGAACTAACCACTGATGAGCTGATAGATCAACTTCAACAGCAAGAGGCCAGACCTGAGGAACCTGGTTCAGAGGAGGAGAGAGAGAAATTGAAGAAATTGCCTACTACAAAGATTAAGGAAATCTGTGCAAAGTGGCTTGAAGTGCAAACCTTCATGGATGAAAATCACCCTCACACAGCTATTGCAAGCCGTGCTGGTGATTATTACACTGACAATGTTGTGAAACACTTTAGGGAAGTCATAAAGGAACGAGAGGTACAGGCCACTATGGACAGATATGTTGTGCGAAAGAAGTCCAGTGACTCTGAAGCTGGTCCTAGTGGCATTAAAAGAAGAAGGGAAGTAACCCCAGAAAAGGACTCGACACCTCAAGTCTTAATGGAAGGGGATTCCCCTTCTAAACACTAACACTCTCTCTCCCCTCCTCCCATCTCATCAATCATCACCAGATCTTCAATAAAAGTAAGTGTCATGTAATTGTGCATGCCTTTTTCAGTTTGTGTGTATTAAAATTAACATTTCATGTGGTAAAATTTTTTTTTTTTCATACTTTTGGGTGTCTTGCACGGATTAATTTGATTTCCATTATTTCTTATGGGGAAAATTCATTCGCATACCGAACATTTCGCATAACAACCAGCCCTCTTGCACGGATTAAAGTCACTATGCGGGGGTCCACTGTACCTCCCTGGCCAGTGCATGAAATTAGTGCCTCCCTTTCTTCATCGGCATTTAAAACTTCCTCAAAATATTCCCGCCATCTACCCAATACCTCCAGCTCCCCATCTACTAACTCCTCTAGTCTGTTTTTAACTGACAAATCCATTCATTCCCTAGGCTTTCTTGTTTATCTCACTCCAAAATTTTTTTCTTATTCTCAGTAAAATTTCTTGACAGTGCCTCTCCCACTCTTTCATCTGTTCACCTTTTGCACTCTCTCACCACTCTCTTCACCTTTCTTTTACTCTCCATATACTCTGCCCTTCTTATATCACTTCTGCTTTGTAAAAACCTCTCATAAGCTATCTTTTTCTCTTTTATCACACCTTTTACCTCATCATTCCACTAATCACTCCTCTTTCCTCTTGAACCCACCCTCCTACAGCCACAAACTTCTGCCCCACATTCTAATACTGCATTTTTTAAAACTATCCCATCCCTCTTCAACTCCCCCACTACCCATACTTGCACCAGCCCACTTTTCTGCCAATAGTTGCTTATATCTCACCCTAACTTCCTCCTCCCTTCCTTTATAAACTTTCATCTCTCTCTTACTTACTGTTGCCATTTTCCTTTTGTCCTATCTACCTCTTACTCTAACTGTAGCTACAACTAGATAATGATCCAATATATCCATTGCCCCTCTATAAACATGTACATCCTTAAGCCTACCCATCAAGCTTTTTTCCACTAATACACGTACATAATCTAATAAACCACTTTCTTTACATGCTATATCATATCTTGTATACTTATCCTCTTTTTCATAAAATATGTATTATTTATTACCAAACCTCTTTCTACACACAGTTCAATTAAAGGCTCCCCATTTTCATTTACTCCTGCCACCCCAAATTTACCTACTACTCCTTCTACAACATTTTTACCCACTTTAGCATTGAGATTCCCCAACCACAAGTACTCTCTCACTTAGTTCAAAACTCTCCATGCACTCACACAACATTTCCCAAAACTTCTCTCTCTATACTTCTCTCTTCTCCAGGTGCATAAACTTTTCACATCCAACCCTTATTTTACTCCATATAATCTTTGAATTTATATATTTATATTCCTTCTTTTCCTGCCATAACTTATCCTTCAACATTAGCTATTCTTTCCTTAGCTCTAACTCTATTAAAAACCCCTGACCTAATCCCATTTATTTCTCCCCACTGAAACTCTCCTACCCCCTGCAGCTTTGTTTCACTTAGAGCCAGGACATCCAGCTTCTTTTCATTCAAAACATCCACAATCATCTCTTTCTCATCATTGACACTACATCCATGCACATTCAAACATCCCACCTTGACGGTTTTCTTCTTTTTCTTTGTAGTAGGCTATACAGGAAAAGGGGTTACTAGCCCATTGCTCATGGCATTTTAGTTGACATTTTAGAATACACATGACTTAGGGAGGAAAGATTCTTATTCCACTTCCCCATGGATATGAAAGGAAAAGTAATAAGAACTATTAAGATCAAAATTAAAGAAAACTCAGAAGAGTGTGTATACATAAACATGTACATGCAAATGTAGTGTGACTTAAGTGCAAGTAGAAATAGCAAGACGTACCTGAAATTTTGCATGTTTATGAGACAGAAAAAAGACACCAGCAATCCTGCCATCATGTTAAACAAATACAGGCTTCCATTTTACACTCACTTGGCAGTCTGGTAGTACCTCCCTAGGTAGTTGCTGTCTACCAACCTACTACCACCTATAACAGTTTGCCTATATAGTTTAACATACTTTATTTATTTTCTGAGTCATCTGCTGGAGCTTCTTATCTTGAGATTGTTTATCTCGAGTGACAACCACTAATTCTTGTTTCATTTTCCGCAGTTCCTCCGAAAACCTCTTGGCTTCATCTCTGCTTTCTTTAGCCTGGAATAAAGGTTTACTTGGATGTAAAAATATAAATATATTATATTTTACTCAATATATGAGGCAGCTGAAGAGCAGCCACCTCCATGAGGTGAGTTCTGAGATGATGGATGACTGTGGGTAATCAGTGTATAGTGTATATTATGTCTCTAAACAAAATATACACTATATGCTATTGGAGTGTGAGCAGGATAACTCTGATGAAGGGATCCAGGGAAACAGGTTAACCAGATTTGAGTCTTGAAAGTGGAAAGAGCTATACTTGCACTGTGAAGAAGGGGTGGGGGATGTTAAAGTCAGAGGGGAAATTTGATTGTGATGTCAGCACATGTCCTATAGTCAAATGATTTTAACAGATGTATAGTGTACTTAATGTCTAGTTTTCTGAAGAAACCCTTATGTTGAATGAAGTCTAATGGAGATGAAACTAGATTTAGGAGATGTGTATGATGTGCACCTTACCTATGGACAGTGGCAGAATAATTATTAACACCACAATCAAATTTCAATCTTCTGAAAGGAGACAGTGTAATTCAGCACAATAAATTTTAAGTCATAACTATCCAGTCATTTGAGGGGGTTGTACCTTCATATCATGGTCAGTTTCAGTTACTATAGACCTCAGAATGGGTCAATAAAATAATTGGTGTACCAAGAAAAAATAAGCAAATTTTGTTATTTCCCTTGGGCCTACTGTGTAACAAAAATAATTATATACATAGACAAGAAAATAATGTCAATAATAGAAATACCAGCTCTCAAATTTACCTCCTGTAAGGCTTCTGCCTGTGCCTCAGCAATTTTATTTTCGAAAAACTGCCTTTGAGATTCAAGTTGTGATGACAGAAGATGTGTATATTCAAGTTGTAATGCTGTTAATTTTTCTTCTCCCTGCACCATTTCCTCCTTTGTGTCTGCAACCGGAGATGATCTTTCATAAGATACAACCTGAAATATGAAATATGAAGACTGAAATACTGGACATAAGAGGGTAAGCTCTACTGCTAAGGAAATGTGGAAATAACATTTTTAATTAACCTATTTGCTACACATGTTAAATATATCTGGGTGGACATGTATAATACCTGGGTGTGAAATTCAGATTTATCCCAGTCACCGTTACATTTTTACTTTGCTGAAAACTTTACCTTTACCCTAGCAAACATCTGTCAGATATCTCATAAAACATATAAACAAATACTGGCTGGCCCCACTAACACAGTAGGTTAGGGTCCAGGCTACTGCTGTAAAGTGAAACAGCCTTTTTTCAGTTTCAACTGCATATAAAAGTCTGATTTTCTTCTTTTTATTTTTAGTAAGCTGTACGGGAAAAGGGGTTACTAGCCCATCGCTCCCGGCATTTTAGTTAACTTTTACAACATGCATGGCTTACGGAGGAAAAATTCTCATTCCACTTCCTCATGGATATGAAAGGAAATTAATAAGAAAAAGAACTATTGAGAAAAACCAAAGTAAGCTCAGATGAATGTGTACACAGGTGTACATACATGTGTAGTGTGACTTAACTGTAAGTAAAAGTAGCAAGATATACCTGTTATCTTGTGTGTTTGTGAGACATAAAAAAAGGCATCAGCACTCCTACCATCATGAAAAACAAATACAGGTTTTTGTCTTACACTCATTTTGGCAGGACAGTAATACTTCCCTAGGTGGTTGCTGTCTACCGACCTACTTCTAGTGTGCAGGGTAATATTTTGTGAAGGGACTCAGGGAAACCGGTTAGCCGGACTCAAGTCCTGGAGGTGAGAAGTACAATGTCTGCACTTTAACCCTTTGACTGTTTCGGTCGTATATATATGTCTTACGAGCCAATGTGTTTCACGTATATACACCTACCATCCGACTTACGACCGAGTTCAGTTCCGAGAAACCGGTCGTAAGTCGAAATGGTCGTAAGTCGAAATGGTCGTAAGTCGAACTTTACTACTGAATATCAACAAAACATTTTTGTAATGACTTTATTTCATTTTTTTATTTTGGTATTTCATGTTTTGCTTTACTTTTTATGTTGTTAGTACTGTATTTTATACTGTAAGGTTTAGGATAAACACTGTATACAACACAAATAGCTGTTTATTTCCCAGAAATTTGGCATAAAAAACATGGTCGTAAGTCGAGTGGTGTAAGTTTAGTGGTCGTAAGTCGAGTGGTCGTAAGTCGAGTGGTCATAAGTCGAGCAGGTCATAAGTTGGATGGTAGGTGTACTTGCATCTGCCACATTTCTCCCCTATTCATTCTATCATATACCTTTTCTAAATCCATAAATGCAATAAAAACTTCCCTACCTTTATCTAAATACTGCTCACCTTCCCTACCTTTATCTAAATACTGCAGGTCGTAAGTCGGAAGGTAGGTGTATACTCAAAAATTTTAGATGCCTCAAATCAAGCAGGAGAAAGCTGGTAGGCCCATGTGAGACAATGGGTCTGTGTGGTCAGTGTGCGCAGTATAAAAAAAATCCTGCAGCACCCAGTGCATAATGAGAAAAAAAAAACTCTGACCATGTTTTTGGATTAAAACACTAACTTTGAGGTGTATTTTTGTAGAGTATTTTGATTGGTTTTAGTATGAAAAGGATCTTGAAATGGAGCTCAAAGTGGGAGAAACGTTCGATTTTTGCCGATGTTCAAGAGTAAACATATGATGTCATTGCCCAATAAATGTCCGACTAGCCATTCTAATATGCAGTCACGAATGGGTTGACGTCATTTGTACAATGATTACAATATTGCAGTAGTCTGCCTAATAGTAAATCTTCTATTTTTTGTGTGAATAAAAATTCAAGAGTATTATAACAGGGGCCTGGAGACATGACTGATGAACAGAGAAAATGTTATTTTAGTGCCAGGAATGTCTGCATTGTTTATTCTGAACCCTATTTTGAAATCGACAATTTTTTTAATTTGCATGAAATTGGTCAAATTGCCAATTTCTGACCACTTTATTGGGTAATTGAAATCAGTAAATGGGCAGTTTCTTGTACTCAATCGATAGAACAAATGGAGTTCTAAAGAAATAGCTATGAGTTTGGTCGACTGGAACAATGGAATTGGCCAAAAATAGGGCTAAAAGTGGGCGAAATCGCCGATGCATAGATGTCGCCAAGGTCACTAACTTCGCGAGATTGTAGTTCCATAAGTTTTCCATCAAATTTCGTACTTTTGGTGTCATTATCATCGGGAAAAGATTCTCTCTCATTTCATAAGAAAAAATAATTTTTTTTTTTCAAATATTTTGCGACACCAGGAGACACTCCAGGATTTCGGGCTGCGACAGTCAAAGGGTTAAAGAAGGGGTTTGGGATATTGGCTGTTTGGAGTGACATCTAAGCTGTTATACTTGGGCACCTCTGCAAAGACAGTTATATTGTGTGAATGATGGTGAAAGCGTTTACTTTTTTGGATCACCCTGTTTCGGTGGGAAGCAGCCGACGTATTAAAAAAATAAATAAATAAAGTTTGATAACATGTTTACGCTATCATAAACAGTGGTATCTTGACTTACGAGTTTAATTCGTTCCATGACCCAGCTCATAATTCAATTTGCTCGTATTGTGGATGTTATGAATGAGAAGAAGCTGGATGTCCTGACTTTAAGTGAAACAAAGCTGAAGGGGGTGGGTGAGTTTCAGTGGAGAGGAATAAATGGGATTAGGGCAGGGGTTTCAAATAGAGTTAGAGCTAAAGAAGGAGTAGCATTAATTTTGAAGGATAAGCTATGGCAGGAAAAGAGGGACTATAAATGTATTAATTCAAGGATTATGTGGAGTAAAATAAAAGTTGTATGTGAGAAGTGAGTTATAGTAAGTGTATATACACCTGGGGAAGAGAGAAGTATAGAGGAGAGAGAGAGATTTTGGGAAATGTTGAGTGAATGCATGGGGAGTTTAGAACCAAGTGTGAGAGTACTTGTGGTTGGGGATTTTAATGTAAAAGTGGGTAAAAATGTTGTGGTGGGAGTAGTAGGTAAATTTGGGGTGCCAGGGGTAAATGAAAATGGGGAGCCTTTAATTGAGCTATATGTAGAAAGAGGTTTGGTAATAAGTAATACATAATTTAACGAAAAAGAGGATAAATAAATATACAAGGTATGATGTAGCACATAGTGCAAGTAGTTTGTTAGATTATGTATTGGTGGATAAAAGGTTGATGGGTAGGCTCCAGGATGTACACGTTTATAGAGGGGCAACTGATATATCGGATCATTATCTAGTTGTAGCTACAGTTAGAGTAAGAGGTAAATGGGAAAAGAGGAAAATGGCAACAACAAGTAAGAGGGAGGTGAAAGTGTATAAACTAAGGGAGGAGGAAGTTTGGGTAAAATATAAGCAACTATTGGCAGAGAGGTGGGCTGCTGCAAAGATGAGTAGTGGGGGGGGGGGGGGGGTGAAGAGGGTTGGAATAGTTTTAAAAATGCAGTATTAGAATGTGGGGCAGAAGTTTGTGGTTATAGGAGGGTGGGGGCAGGTGGAAAGAGAGGAGTGATTGGTGGAATGATGAAGTAAAGGGTGTGATAAATGAGAAAAAGGTAGCTTATGAGAAGTATTTACAAAGCAGAAGTGTTATAAGAAGAGCAGAGTATATGGAGAGTAAAAGAACGGTGAAGAAAGTGCAAAAGGAGAGCGGATGATTGAGTGGGAGAGGTACTGTCAAGAAATTTTAATGAAAATAAGAAAAAAATTTGGAGTTAAACAAGTTAAGAAAGCCTAGGGAACAAATGGATTTCTCAGTTAAAAACAGAGTAGAGGAGTTAGTAGATGGTGAGATGGAGGTTTTGGGTAGATGGCGAGAATATTTTGAGGAACTTTTAAATATCGACGAAGAAAGGGAGGCGGTAATTTCATGCACTGGCCAGGGAGGTATACCATCTTTTAGGAGTGAAGAAGAGCAGGATGCGAGTGTGGGGGAGGTGCGTGAGGCATTACGTAGAACGAAAAGGGGTAAAGCAGCTGGAACTGACAGGATCGTGACAGAAATGTTAAAAGCAGGGGGGGACATAGTGTTGGAATGGTTGGTATTTTTGTTTAATAAATATATGAAAGAGGGGAAGGTACCTAGGGATTGGCAGAGAGCATGTATAGTCCCTTTATATAAAGGAGGGGGGACAAAAGAGATTGTAAAAATTATAGAGGAATAAGTTTATTGAGTATACCAGGAAAAGTGTACGGTAGGGTTATTATTGAAAGAATTAGAGCTAAGACAGAATGTAGAATTGCGGATGAGCAAGGAGGTTTTAGAGCAGGTAGGGGATGTGTAGATCAAGTGTTTACACTGAAACATATATGTGAGCAGTACAGTGGACCCCCGGTTAACGATTTTAATCCGTGCAAGAGGGCTCATCGTTATGCGAAATAATCGTTATGCGAATGAATTTTCCCCATAAGAAATAATGAAAATAAAATTAATCCGTGCAAGACGCCCAAAAGTATGAAAAAATTTTTTTTTTACCACATGAAATGTTAATTTTAATACACACAAACTGAAAAAGGCATGCACAATTAAATGACACTTACTTTTATTGAAGATCTGGTGATGATTGATGGGATGGGAGGAGGGGAGAGCATTATCTTCTTACTGTTTAGAAGGGGAACCCCCTTTCCCATTAGGACTTGGGGTAGTAAGCCTTTTCTGGGGTTACTTCCCTTCTTTTTTAATGCCACTGGGGCCAGCTTCAGAGTCATGGACTTTCTTTCGCAAAAGATATCTGTCCATAGTGGCCTGTACCTCTCGTTCTTTATGACTTCCCTAAAGTTTTTTCACAACATTGTCAGTGTAATAATAAACCAGCACGGCTTGCAATAGCTGTGTGAGGGTGATTTTCATCCATGAAGGTTTGCACTTCAACCCACTTAGCACAGATTTCCTTTATCTTTGTAGTAGGCAACTTCTTCAATTTCCCCTGTCCCCCCCTCTGAACCAGTTTCCCCA